CTGTGAGACGGCAGCGTAACTATGAGCTATAATAATTATACGAAGCACAGGGGAGCATTCCTAATTGTATGCATCGCATCACGATAAGTCTACTTATAATTATAAAGTCTTCCTATGAGCAATGATGGGTTGAACTGGCCTACATATTCAACAGCAGCCAGAGCAGTGAACTGTAACATGGAAAGAGTGTTCTGCTCATGACTGCCTGAGCAAACATCGACCAAGTTAAAAACCTGAAGCAGGAGCAGGGTGCAAAGACAGTGACGTAATATTTCACACCACAAAAAAGTGGATTTAGCAAAAAAGGAGGTACTATGTTGATATTTCACATACATTTATAATATATGCCTGTGGATCCAGATCAATCGGTTATTTACCCAACCCTGTGTCAGCAAGGCCCCTTCCAGGAATTCCTCCATATCAATGTTGTGGAGCAGCAGAGAAATAAAGTACAGCCTGAGCATGATGAGGGTTCCAGGCTGCATTCAGGTCAGGTGGCTAAGCTGTGCTGTGCAACTCAAATGGCCCATGACTTACCACACAAGAAGGTATTCGAAGACTGATCATCTACTGCATGTGCAACAATATTTGCTTTATGGATGACTAAAATGAATGAGGACTTTCCATGTTTCGACAGGCATGAGAGTCGAGAGAGATGAGTGCAGGGACCAGAGCTGGGTCAAACAGTTGTTACAATTAAATCTTAGCATTTTGTTCATTTAGCAATTCAACGAGCACCAGCTTGGTGCTCGTTGAATTGCTCTGTGTGGTAAAGACCACCTATCAGCCACCTGAGCAGGCTTAAATAAACCCTTAAAAGTATTTCTTAATCACTGCTGGACACACGTGTCAGCATCTGGAGCTGTGATTTTACACTCACTTATCAGCCACAGTGTAATACAGCTGTAATTCTTCTTTCATCCCTCTGTATCCTTGTTGTAACCTGAATCTCTATTTCCCATCTTTTCCAGACTTACAGAAAGACAGCAGGCTACAGTCACTGCGGTTACTGAGACAATTTGATACACACGTCTAGGCTGACCCTTTACCTTAAATAAAATGTGAAGAGAAACAGGAAACACTGGATTTGCTGTAAACTGTAAACATTCCAGAACTTTACCCAACCATACACCATGTCTTACTAGGTCTATATATTGTATACATAATGTTTAACAGTGTCGAACCTGTGGTCGCGCTACCCACAGTGCAACACAGACACTGCTGACGTGTTCATCTCTTCTATCTGGGGAGGGGTGAGGGTGCTGGGGTAAGAGTACTGGGCTTTTGTCCCACCACATGTCTATTGTGGCTAAACCTTTCCCTTGGGGGCAATTAGGACCTTTTAGTTTGTTGTAAGAGGACCTAAGTAGGAGTGGGTTGAGCCAGGAAAAACATTTTTGAGCTAAACCAAAAACAGAAGCACATTGAGCTCCTCTGCACTCCTGGACTTCTGAGCATCTCTCTATTAAGAAATGTGCAGGCCTACACTGAACAGACAGGAACTGTGGCAGCTTTACAGGGGCAGGGAGGTGACGGGGGTGAGAGAGCTGGGGAGGGGGGAAGGCTTCAACTGCACCCGAAGCCTTGCCAAGAGGGCAAACAACTCAAGACCAACAATGTTGGTGGTAAGGACATGCTTCACGAGAATCAAGAGTTAGGGGAGATCCATGTTTCGCTTTAGCTTTCACATGGATGGATGGAAAACTGGGGAGAGAGAGAAGTGCGACGGGTAACGGTATGCGGTGAGATCTGCTGTAGCGTGCAGAAAGCAAACACACGCATGTTGTTTAACACAACAGGGACACGGAGCCAATGAAAAGACATTACTGTAAGTAAAGGCAGCTACAGCAGAAGTGTTAGTCTACACATGTGAGAGATAAGACTTAAGAGTAGGTGTAAGTGTGTGATTGAAAGAGTTAGTGTTTGCACAGGGATGAAAATGAGTGTGCAAGTATGTTTGAGAGATGGTGCAAGATAGGGACTTGGAGAGGAAAGAAATGGGACAAAGAAGAGCATAAGAGCAAGCCAGGTAAGACATAATTAAGTGTACAAAATGTCTTGATGCGGGGACCTTATCTCCTTGCAGAAGGAAACGTTTCCCATGGCAGGCCTGAGTGGATCGGCAGTGAATGGTGTTAGAACCTCTAAAAAGCCATGAGTGATGAGGAGGGGTTAAGAGAACTGAACCCATTTAAGTCACCCAAATAAGGGCTGTACAAGCCTATGATGGATGCTCTGGAGTTCCTTAGGGAGAGAGCGCTAGAAATGGGAAGGGTGATGGGTGGGGAGCAAGCAAGGGTCCTGCGATCCCCACTTAATAAAAACAAATTGGTTTGATAAACGACACAAGCTTAATGTCTACAAAGATATACGTGCACTAATTTCGAACAGTAATGCAAGTCGTTTTAAAATGGTGATGGTCCCATTCAATCATAATATGTGTATGTTATGACACACAAAGATTCAAAATATGGATTAAGACTGCAAACAGTATGCCATATTTTTTATACTGGTGTCTTAAGACCATCTCTGATCTAAGGCAAACAGTCACTAACAGGCCACATGCAGCCGTTGTTAAGCAAAGAGCAACAGAATTTATCGTTTGGATGCTTATCAAAACACACATCACTTATTAGTGAGGGGTGGAGGAGATGACTGTGCAACAAGCCAACATCTCTCTTGAGAGGTTCCTGTGTACCATACGGTGTTACACTGGGCTGCACTATAATAAACAGTTATAGTATGTTTAAACAGACCAAGAGCTTAGCATTCTTCCATTACCCATGTGTTCCCAGAAACTCCACAAGTGTGTCACTTTACCTAAGTGCATGTTTCTGTGCACAGTTGTGAGTGTCTGTGTGTGCATGCCGTTGCATAAATAATTGTGTGCACATATGTGTGCCCTCAATAAAACATTTCATTGGCTTCCTCTCTGAATTGTTACAAGTGGTGCCATTATTTAACACAAGGCTCTGGGCAGCATGTAGAGGGCATTGGGGTGCAGCATACTATTGCTTAACAAGCACACTTAACCCCAGCCGGCCATGCTAAGCCAAAGAAAGGAAAGGTTGTTCCCCAGCAGTGACATGGCACAGGAGGGCAGTCAGGGCAGAGTAAGGAGAGGAGGGGACAGCATCATTAATGAACCAGACTGGTCCATAGGCGCAATTACAAGTATACTGTGTAAAGAACCCTGTTCAAATTAATCTAGAAGGCAAGCACTGGGTAATTCAGGAAACATAAGGTCAATGCATGCAGTAGCACATGTACTGCTAATAAGAATAACATAGTCACATTTGATTGTAGTCTACATGTTGACTCTATATTAAAAAGAAAATAAAGAAAGAAAATTTTATAATAATTTATCAAGTAAAAACCTTTCAGCAGTATGTACAACTCTGTCTGCTCTAAGCAGCAACTAAATGCACATGACATATACAGCCCGTGCTCACCTTAAGTTTATCTAAGTGGAAACACCAAACATTTTGAGTGGTGAAACACCACAATCTCCCCTAAGACAAGCCCTCACAGAAACATAAATCTGTAGTGTTTTTATAAGTTCCTTGTTATGTCTGTACTTCTATTTCGGTTGTCACAAACATGCAGCCTCACTTAGTCCAACATCATGGGAACCATTCGAAAGAACTTCGCTCCCAAAAGAATGCTGTATATTCATATGTTCAACTTATTGTTAATGTGTGCCAAGTATTCAATTTGGAGAAAAAAGAAAAATGTTATGATACTTAAAAAGGATAGAAACTCTTCAGCAAAAAAGAAAAAAAACTAAGGGACCAGAGAAGAAAAAGCAAAATAAAAATTTAGGTGTGGACATTTCTAACTAGATAGCTAGACTAACTTTCTTCAACCTCCCTGAAAAAAAGGAGTAAATGGGAGTGCCCTGGGATTCATAAAGTCTCACAAGGTAATTGATTGCTCCTAGCGGGGCAATCTGTGTGGGATTCTGTTTTCTTTTTTTCAGCCTATAGGAACAGAAAAAACACACATGGGCCATTCTCAGCAATAGAGCCATTAGGGGGAGAGTGACTGTGTGAGTGTGGGGGTGAGGAGCCTGACAGCGGGATGTACACTACTTAAATATTACAGTACACACACTCACCCACACACCCAAAACCTAGCCTAAATACAGAGGCGCCCACCGTTAAAGCCAGGGCATTAGGAGATGCAACGGATGCGAAGACAAGAGAATCTGCTCTAGACAGGCGAATTAAATCGTGACCTATGGTCCCCGTTGAGTAACATTAGCGAGAGCTTCCTGTGTGCAGGCACCAGTCTGTTGACCGTTCATCATCGCCCAGGAAGGTGGACAGTCACCATTACACACACACTCTGACGCCTCACTTTACAATAACACAGCGGCAGCCATGACTCCACATCTGTCAAGGGGATGTTTAAAAAGAGTCATCATTATTACTCTTTATTTTGGAGATGGGTGGATGGGTGCAGGCTGATAGGAGGAGAGCCGTCTGGTTAATGTCGAGCTCCTCTCCTTAACCAACGACTCTGGACAGCAGTGCAGTCTCAGGCGGGGGGGGGGGGGGCAGACGGGTACTGACTGGGAAGGAGGGGGGCACAGATAAGCGGTGCCCTAGGTCCATTGGCCCGGGGATCTTAAATCATCGTCCGTCACTCCCAAGAGTTCACAAACATCAGCTCTCCCATCGCCCCGAAACCTCACTCTCTTATCAACTGGCTTATCACACAGATCAGTTATCTGGTGGTCTAACAAACACGTCTGCTACCATCAAACACTCACTCCTCCACACACAAACCCAGACACGCAAAATGAAAAATGTGTCATGGTGAAATGAATAGAGAAAAACTCTCTTCATTTACTGCTACTCAGTAGAAATGAAAATAAAGTGCTTTATAAACTTGATAGACTACACCTTCATTTTTTTCAAAGTACTGCACTGCTTCCTCCCTGCTGAAAGACAAGTAATTTATGTGTGTTTGTGTATTTATGCATGTGTAATGCTCACTTTTGTTCCCAACCAAGGACACAACAGGCTGGTTATCAGATTCCTCATTGGCCTTCTTCACCATGCTGAACCAATCCTCCAGATTCTCAAAGCTCTGATAGTTGGTGATGTCGTACACCAGGAGAACACCCTGCGTTGGAAAAAAGCAGAGGAACAATGTTGAACAATGTCATCACACTCTCATTTGAGCACCTCTCATCCACAGTCATCTACTGGTCAATTATGGATGTGGGTACACAGCTTAATTTCATATTCACTCCCCTCATATTCATTCATATTAACATGAGTAATATTGAGTGAGCATGGGAACAGTAGGTGGCACTGCTCCTCTTTTTAGAGTAGGGGACAGACTCACATAGAAGGGGACACTCACTTATTCACACATAATCTGAGTTAGGTTTAGTACTATTAAGATCTAAGTTAGAGAGTGAATTTACATGGATCTGTTTTAAAATGAAAACAGTGGTTTGCACATAAACAAATTCCAGTTTTGTAAGCAAACTCCAAATTCAGTGCAGAATCAAGGTCAGGTTTGGTTATCTACTGTCGGGCTAATGAATGAACGTTGTCTGCCTAGAGACATTTTCCTCCTCCCTAAGTAATCCTCAACACTGTATGCACTGCAGAAACAGTCATGCAACAACCAGACCATGTTTGAGCAAACACTCGGACCAGAAGAAAGTGTTTACATAAACACATAGATTAATCAAAGAGTAAACACAGATACAAGGACTGTTGGCATGATTCAAGACAAATCATCTCATAGGTCAACTATCTGCTATCACTACTTCAAACTCCTGCTATTTTTAAAGGGCTGGAAATGAGTGTTAGCCAAGGTAAATGTCTCTACTTTTACTGCATGATGCAACACGACTGAAGGGGTGTCTGTTGCTTTTTGTTCAGCAGACACACACTGTCACAACACGCGAGGTCGGTGACGAAAGCTTACGCTTCTGACAATTACTGCAAGTGTCTCCGAAGCAGCCATGATTGATTACAGGACGCACAGTGGTGAACAATAGGTGTGAAAGTTCCATACAGCGCTGACGAGAAACTCCCTAAGCAAAGTGTCGTAATGTGGCATTGATGTACGACATTTTGTTTGTGAAGGAGACAGACAGTAGAGGAAGTGCTTCAGACATGGATAATATACACATGACCAGGGCACAGTTTAGCACTGGGCACAGCAAATGGCAAAAGAGCCTCACTTTCACTATTTATAAAGCCAAGGATATTGATGAAATGGAAATGAACCTCCAACTAATGTCCGTCAAGCTACTATAGACAAACATGACAAAAGTGTACTTGCATATAGCAGCTATAGGGTGATAAGTCTCCCGCCAGCCCTGAATGCAGTATGGATCACGGATAAGACAAACCACGGCCTTTAAGAATGCCTCTTCAAACAAGAGGCATTCTGGAGGTGACATATAGCACTCGTCTATAGTAACATAACTACCTGTAGACACTGATGTTGCTGGCACATTCAGAAACTAGTATGCACTGGAAAAATTATAGCATTTGCACAAAGCTCAGCTGTCATTTTAGTTGTTCCGTTTCCCAAAGGACAAGCAATTAATGAGAGGTTAGAGTAAATAATCATTTAGTAACTTGAGCTGAGAGCTATCAAACATTGGATATTACAAATTCTTTAAAAAGTCGAATTAAAGTTGGATACATTTACGAATTAGGAGTAATAACAGTGTGCATGTTTAAGAGTGTCGTTTTTGAATATTTCTATTGCTCACAGTGTTGACCTACAGTGTGCAGTATTATCAACATTTGTTCAGTCTGAACATCACACTGTAACAAGTCTGTAAAAAGAAAGAATGCACTGATTTTTAAAGCTCCATTGACCTGCTACGCCCACTGTCAATCCAAATGACAGTTTATTATGATTTGGCTCCATAGGTAAGGAGTGGCAAGCTCTGAATGAAGCTGCCAGAGCTGTAATAATAAGTCTGACCAGAGTCAGACTTAGTGACAAGCATCTCTAACATTTGGTTTGTACATTTACAAATGTCCTATCCTTCCTGAGGCTGATGGAGTCAAACACGTTTGTCTTTTTGTCTAATGTTAGATTAATAAAACACTTAAGGAGATGCACATATGTTTTTTAGGCAGGAAAAAAAGTAGCAGCAGACAATTAGATGTGGATTTGTGTTAACTTACATGAGCTCCATATACATATTTATCCAGCATTTTCCCTCCTAACGTTTGGCCTCCAATGTCCCACACCTGCAGGGTCACATTCAAATTGCCTACAGGGGAGAAAAGAGACAGAAATATCTTTAATATCAATAAGGACTGACATTTTTTTTTCAACTTTATCAGTTTTACATATCAAACTTACAACAACATAAATGGTTGAGCATTCATGACAAAAGTTGTAAACCCCAACCTCTCCCCCCACCCCCCCCAAGTGGCATCCCCAGATACATGTACAAAAAATAAATAGATTAAGGACTGACATTTTCAATCATAAAAAAAGGTACATATCAGCTCTATAAAGGGGGCATAGATGTTTCAGAGTTTTCCTACTTTGTTTTCTTAAGAATGCTTTTGTCTGCTAATCATCTATATTTAAAACAAAATTAAAATGAGCAAAAAAGTGATAATGTTGCAATTTGTGGGTTTCCATTTCAGATGCTTTTGTCCTATTTAATCATTAACTTGTTTGTTTTAACAAAGCTCATAATCCTGAGGAAACAACTAGTCAGCTGTAGCTGGACTCAGTATTTTGGTGAGTGATTTCTATAATAAAAGTCCATGTTGTTGATACACATAATGGAAACAATAAATCAGCGTTTAATCTTTCATCCAATGCGCTCTTGCCTGGCAGGTCACCCACACCTCACATCCAAGAATATCCAGCCCAGAGATTGAGGGGGATGAATAGGTACGCTTACCCTCTAATTTAAACATTCTCAATACTCTGGCAGTTAAAAAATGACTTCTTATTAGCCTGTGAAGAGCTGTTTGCATTGTGCCATTTCCTGCCAAGTTAGGAAAGTGAGGAGAATTATGTGCTGTTAAGGAAAATAGCAATAATTAAACACAAAATAAGAGGAAAAGAAGACTCTTGTCCTTATGCCTATGGAAAGAAGACGAAGGAGTGAATGAGAAGGGGAGAGAGAAAGACGGGCACAAAAACCAAATCCAAATAAATATTTTCTTCCTCTGGAAAATGAAAGGGGTGGTTGAAAAAAAAAAAAGTCTAAAAAAGAGGAGGAGGGAGGACCAGACAGCGAAGAGTTTATGTTGGTGTGATGAGGGCCTTGCGCTAGGCTGGAGCGGCGATGGGGAGCAGAGCGTACACTGTGGACATGGCTGGACGACTCAACCCCTTCATAAGTCCCCTTTTTAAAGCGAGGAAAGGAAACGCTGAAGTTCACAGTCACTACATCTAGACTATACAGTGTCAATGTAAAGCTACGCTGAGGAGTGCAATGAATAACAGTAAAAGAGCCATCCCCACCCATCCTCAGACACTTGCTTTATTTATGTTAGAGATTCATGCTGACTCAATAGCACTGACATTTTTCTGCTTACACTTTGCAAGAAGTAGAAACTGCATTTGTGAGTCTGATAGACGACCCTTAATACTGATAATAAGGTCAGAAAAAGGAGCATGTTGAGAAGATATTTTTCTTCTTAGTGTGATATGAAAGTTGACCCAGACACAGCAACTTCCGAAAGTTTGAGTTTGACAGAATTTATCAAGTAAATTTCACCTCTAGTCAGTTCCCTTCACCGCCTGTACCTCATTGGTTTGGCAGTGACATCTGGAAGAGGTATTGTTATAAAAAGCACACACAGAGGAGACTGTTGTGTGCCAGTCGGCCTCGCCTCACCTCTCCCTGCGTTGGAAAATGTACATTAACTTTGACAAGCTGGGCCTTCATGGAGAGAGGGGCCAATGCTGGCTATAGGCTACTCTCCCCCCTGCTGCATAAGACCCTTACGGCCCCATAGAGACCTGGAGAGCCACACAGCCTCTCCAATACAAGGCAGGGTGGGGGTCCTAACAAAGTTTGGGACCACCCAGCTCGCAGAGCCACCCTCCTCTTCATCAGCTCATCAACACCCAATTCCCCAGAAAATGGGCCATTTAACAACTCCGGTGTTGGAACCTTGTGTTGTTGCTGCCCCAGTGATGCAGACGTATGTACACTACATTTAAACAAAGCTTACAGTTTTACACTTGAGAGATCAGTGATTATTTCAGGAAAGAAACTTACTGGAAAAAGAAGTCAAACGATTAACAGCATTTGTTCAAGTTCATTTTAAGGAGTTGAGCCCAGCCTGTGCTTTTAGTTGGCTCTTTCATTCTGACTCCACCACAACATTTTTGGGGGTTTAGTTCTCCTAAGTCTCATAAGCTGAAACTGACACAAAATCAAAATAGAATCCTTCAGCCAACTCACAAATCAGCATAACTTTTACTTTTAGCACTTAATTTGCCCTTGCTTAATGTTGTTTTATTAGTAATGAAAGAATGGAGCCACTTTGCAGATTTCTGGAGCTTAGGCCTTGGCAGAGTTTGAGAAATGCCATTTAAAATACTGAAAATTCCCATTTCACATGGTAGGAAGTAAAAATGGAGTCTAAATATAGCATTAGTCAATAAACATTTATTTTACAGATCTAAAGGGGATACAGAGTGTGGCTTTATTTCTGCGGGTTCAACATAAACAAATAAGAACATGAATGTTTTATGTGGTACAGGACAAAGATCAGTTGAACTTGGGGATCAGCGATATGGATATAAAATGTTAATGTATTTACTCTGTACTGTGCCCACAGAATTATGAGCAAGGCTCGCCTGTTTGGACATAAGCTGTCCATTGGCCTTGTGGAGTCAAAAAAAAGTGTGCTGTTTGCTCTGGAGAGAAGAGCTTTCAGAGTGAATAACCCTGAGAAGTGGCAGACACTCTACAATGAGGAGCTACCAGAAAAGACACATTCAACTCCTGACTTAACCTGAAGAATAAACTTGCCTGCCTGGAAATGGTGGGACAAGAAAATATGAGAAATAAAAATATGACAGAAAGTGATGGTGGAACAACTGGCCTCTTTGTTAAACTTTCAATGAATATTCTGGGTCTTAACACCGATAATGTTAAGTACACACAAACATCCAAAACGTTAAGGTTGATATTACAGTATTACAAACAACCACTAACAGTCAAGCCAGTCTGTCTGGATAAAACCTTGCCAAATACATATGCTCAGTATTTTATTAAATTAACAAGTCTGCAGTCTGCCGCTACGTGCTTGTGCAACACGCGTGTCCGTGCTGAGTCTTTGAACAAGCGGACACTCCCTAAAGATTATGAAGGTGTCTCACCTGGAAGGCTTATTCTCTTCAGAAAGAAATCCAGGCCGATGGTTTGTTTGTACTGCTTCCCAAAGGCCTCCTGTGCAAACCTGGTGGCGAGTGATGTCTGAAACAGAGAGACAAAGGGAGAGACGCAGGGAATGAGTGCCAGAACACCTCTGCAGCAATCAACAGGACTGAAAATATGTCATTTAAAGTAAAGTGTTTTGAAAAGAAAATGCTTTCAGGATAAAGGAGAAACCTTGATTCTTTGCATAGTATTGCATTGTATAAACAATATCACATAGAACTTAAAAACCAAATGAAAATCATAGCATGGCCCAGAGCAAAATGCAAGATGCCGCAAAACTACTTCCAGAGAAAATATGAAGTATATTATAGAACTTCCTGAAAAAGTGATATTTCAGTGGTGAGCAGAAGTAGAAAAACTTTGATTTCATTCACACTGACCAAGTGCCAAACTAAGCTTTTTACAATACTTCAATTTTTAATATTTCTAAAAACAAAACAGCCATAATTCTTAGGCGATGTAACCTTGAAGTCTGCTCTGTCTGAAGGACATTCATTTCATTATTACAAATCCATTTTAAGCACCTTCAAAAACTTTGTGATCGACTTGAAGGTACGTTGAGGTAATTGTCTGCCTCCTCTGCTGTCTCACTACTCAGCCACAGTTGTGACAGTGAAAATCAATGTGAATTACAAAAACAGGTGTCGCAGTATGTGTCATGTCTCCAGACTGCAGACCTAATAATTGCCACAAATTATAAAACCTCCATCACTGTCACTGTTGTGTTTGAGGAGGAAAAAAAATAGCATGTTAGGGGCTCTCCTGAAATCCATGGGAATTCATAGCACAGGCTTGACATGCCAAGTTTAATTCATTTTGATGGATGAGGATAGGAAAAAAAATGAAGTGCTGAATGTCTATTAGCTATCTTTAGAGCAGTGTGCTTACATAAACACAACACAGAAGTGAAGCAATGGGATTCCCTAAGTGTTCATGTGGCAGCAAATGCATTTTAATGTGGTACTTGACAATCACTGAGGGTTAGAGGATTTAAAACTAAATTCTTTCTTTCAGTCCACTAAGCTTTCACTTGAGCTTGTGCCCTTATCTACCTCCATTCGTGCTCAGAAGCTTTAGGTTTAGCCAAATATGTTTTCAAATAAGACAGGATTTTTTTCATATTACTCCAGGAAAGACACAACTTAATTTAATTAAGAAACCCCTTACGACGGTTTACACAAATCTTGTTCAAGTAAAGAAGTCTGTTTGGTTTTCTTAAGGTACTGATTTGTCATGCTACCTTTAATATAAAATTGCTATGTTTATCCTAGCTTGTATATTTAAATGTAATCTTTTAATTAAGCCTATTGAATGTATAATGCTGACCTTTGCCAATACCTTTCTTGATTAACATGTCCTTTGAGGTGCAGAATAAAGTTTTTTTCACCTAATTCTTTTAAAAGTTCACTAACCTGCAGACTTTTTTTAATCACAGCCTGTGGAGCATGTCACGGGCTCAAGAGTGACTGAAAAATTACTAGAGGTGACTGACGCAACAAGGAGAAAATCGGCCATTTAAGTAGCCCAAACAATCACTGACAACACAGGAATAACAAGCTCGGACAGCAAAAATTTATTCCACATGCTCGCGTTGGCCTAGTCGGCCATTTGTCTTGGCATTCCAGTAGCTTGGCTCTCTTCCCTCAACGTAGACCTTTTTTTTCCACCGTACAACTGGAACTAACCAGCGAATGTAAAAGCTGGCGTAATCCTGACACTCCAACAGAGAACAGCACAGGGTCACCAATGATACCAGTGCCGGGAAATGGGGGAAGTTCTACTGAAACAAGAAACTGAGAGAGAGGGAAAAAATATGGCAAGCTGACTATGTCCATGTGATGCAACTCATATGAGAGAGGCAGTGCATTTTTGCAGCATGGTATCAAAACCGGGTCTTTACTCTCCCTAAACAGTCAAGACAGATATTGTTGTTATTCTGTTGAGTAGTTTGACTGTAAAGAAAACTTCTGGGATACAGTATCCATTAATGTATAGGACCTGTACCTAAAGCCATATTTTATGCTATGGGTCAGAGAACAGCAAATACTCAGAAACTGAGTGACTTATAACTCAGTTTGAAAAATAGACCTGTGTGTAAGTTAGGCCCAGAGCCTTAAGAGCCTGGCTAAATGTGAGCCTCCATATTTTAAAAACATCTCGCTCAGGTGGACAAGCCTTCCCACATCTCCCTATATTTCTGAATGGACAACCAACCACAAGCAAAAATACCACTGAAAATGCTGTCCAAGAAAAACTGATCCCATTGCAATTTGCTGAGCAAATTGACATTAATAAGGGGGGAAACGGCATTCAAGATGTCAGTCAGTGGTGCCTACTCAAAATGGGGGGCAGGGCTCCTGTTTTCTGCCCAAAACAGACAAGCAGGTAAGTCATTCAGACAGTGACGAGCTGACACCTGGCAGCAGTGTGAGGAGGGTTATTAATGTAGCGTATCTACTGGGAACTGAGTTGTGTGTGTTCTCTACACCCCCCTGCCCCAAAAAGAAAATGTCGACTTTCCAGAATGAGAACATTCATTTTTCTCAGTGGGTCTCACCATTACTGCTACATTCATTTTCTTTCTCCCAGAGGAAGGAGAGATTAGTTACGAAAGGGGATGTGTAGCTGAAAAGCACTTGACGTCTCTCCCTTACATTCAAACTCATTCACTTGGGGATTTGAAATGCAGTGAAGAAGAAACGTGGCTGAATTGTCATGACAACCTCTTTGCTTTGCTGCAAATAATTGCTTGGTGTGACTAGGAAAAAATTCCACTGTTGTGGATGTGAGTTAGACCTTTTTAATCTACATCTTTTAAATTATTTTAATGAACATACTGAAGGATTCAGTCCAGTGGTTTTGAAAGGGAATTGTGAGTAAAACCAGTCCATGAGACCACCCTAGGGCATTGAGTAGATTTTACAAAGACAGACACAATGCACTAAGAAAATGTATATTTGCTGACAGTTCAGCGCAGTACAAAGTCAGTACAGTAACAAAGTCTTCGCACATAACTCTCTTCACAGTGTTATTTTACTCTATACTTTAAAATAGCAAAATCTCTCAAAAGGGTTGTCCAGGCATAATTTTCTTAAATGTAGCTTCACCTCACTCTGGAGCCAAAACAGGGATCCTTGGCCAGGAGAAGATACTGACAGAAAACAAAGCCACCAGCTGCAAGAGCCTGGCTGAGCAAACTGTCTTCCTTCATCAATTATCATACTCTGTGTAATACTGTACAGTGCAGTGTTTCACCCCAAGTTCATTGAGCAGTAGTAGCAGTCCTGAAGTGTAACACCAACTTAAGGAATGTAAAATTCATCATCCAGCTATGCTTCCTATTCAAAACATCAAAATGTCTTTAATTTAAACAAGTTATTCTAAAAGGGACATTTTAAGTGGATGTTATGTGTTTTCTTCAAATGTGTTACTTATTGACTGTGTAGTTTGGGCACAGAAGCCTGAATTTAGATGGCTGATAGAGGTTGGGCTAGGGCAAAATATTGAAAAACAGTATAATAAGCATTAGCTGTACACATAAATAGGCTCCAAAACCAATCATTTAAACAGGCACATTTTGATGAGTAACCAAAATCAGACTGGCAGATAAAAGCAAAAACATAACAACATATAATTTCTTCACAATGTAACCCTGTGGGCTTAGCTACTTTAAAACACAGCACCACAGGCACATAGCTTACAACTACATTCAATAGCACATGCAACGTGGATTAACGGCTGGGTAAACTTAATAGGTTTAGAACAACGGATTTGTGCCAGATTTAAATCCATTATGCTATCTTTGAGACAGAATCAAAACTACGGATGTCCATCAACTTTGTAAAACAGTCCACTGGATTTAGAGGACTGACTTGAAAGTGAGAAAATGCATTTTTTAAGGTTATAACTTTTTCCTACAAAATACAATACAAATTTTGATGCAGTCTTTTAGCATCATTCATCTTACAAATCTCTCATTGTAAACATCTACTGAACTGATGTCAAGAGAGCTGCAAGTTCCCAAGTGAAATCTGGTCAACCTCCATCCATCATATGGACTTTTCCTCACAATCTCATTTCTTGAGCCTGGGTGTCTTCCTCTTGTAGGTTACAACCTAAAGAGTGTTGAATTACAGTAAGGTCAACACCACAGGAAGCCCTACCAAAGAAAAGTTTAATGTATAACTAGCACACTTATAATGACTGTAATGTTCAGTATGACCATTTTGACAAAAGCGAAGATCTATTATTACTCCTTTTTTTTACAATAAGGTAATTAATTTAAAAAAAGAATCTCTCCTTACTTATCGCTCGTGCCATTAACAACCGTCATACTAATCCACATAAGGTTTCCAATGCTAATGAGTCATTTTTGGCAGGAGTAAATTGCTGAGGCAGAATGAGTGAAGCGCAGGTGTTCAGTTGAAAAATAAAGAAGAGGAATTGATTCTTCTAAATATCAGCAAATTCAAATTCATCAAATGCAATTGTCATGCAATCAGTCAAGAAAGAACAATAACAACTACAACATTAGAATGATCCAAAGCATACTTCAAAATCCACTTCTAACTACTTCAAGAAACACAAGCTGAAGCTTTTCACAGTCCCGTCTAAAACTTTGACTGAAATTTGCAGGTAGATCTTAAACATGCTGTGCGTGCAAAGCAATCTAAAAATATCTCAGAACTTGAAGTGATCTGCAGGAAGAGTGGGTGACCATTTGGACGATTTGACCCTCAACAGCAATACGATAGAAACAATATTTCATTTATGCATATATATGTATGCCAGACCGTCAAGTTGGCAGTTAATTAGGCACACCTCCCTAAAACTAATGCAGTCTAATGAATCCTCCCTTCATGAGGGTTATAACGCTCAGTTTTTATTGAAACTTCTTAAAAGAGGTGTTGTGGTGCTGTGTTGCATTATACAGAGAGGTGTTTCTGTTATTTAGCTTACAATCACTGAGTTAAACGGGGGGACAAAATAATAGAAATACTGGTCTGTACAACGTAATGCAAGTCAACAAAAACACAAACTATAACCACCAAAATTATCATATAGTTGAATCAACACCAATTTAACGTTTCAACACAGGCTGAACATTATAACCTTCACGGAGGGAGGATTTATTGCAGGACTGCAGTATTAGGCTGCATTAGTTATAGCTAGGTGTACCTAATAAACTGCCAAATTAGTGTAAATATGTTCAAATGACAACAATAAAAGCTTGAACCTTTAAATCCTAAATGATGAATAGAAAGCATTTGATAGCTACTGGAGTGGGGGTGGGAGGTTACTAAGTGCAGAATCAGTAGGCTGCCACAATTACTGTTTAATATTTTTTTAAGTTCACGAAATAAAAAAAATCAACAGAGCAGTAACATGTGAAGACAGACACGTTTTTTTGCTGTTAGCTGCAGAGGCTGTTCTTGCTTCTTTTCACTCAAAAAATCGACAAAATATGGACCCATATAATACGAAAAATACATCAGTCATAGAGCACAGTGTACTGCAGGACGAGTACGTTTACTTTTTATACGTCAAATGCACACAGTTAAGTAGTGGGGTTTGAATGCAGGACCTTTACTTGTAATGGCGTATTTAAACACAGACGTACTGGTACTTTTGCAGAAGTGAAGGGTCTGACTACTTCTTCCACCAGTCTTGCTGTGTTGTTAGCACATAGCCGACTTAGCTATATCAGCGTCTGTCGCCATGGTGACTGGGGCGACGGCGTAAGCGTCAGGACGACCACCATACAGAGCAGGATACTAAGTAAAACAGACAATAACACACTAAATTCCTCTACGTGGAGAATTTAGATTAAAAGGTCTATCTTCTTCAACGGCGTTGTGTTTGTGTAAGTTGTGTGTATGTGATGGTCTCACCTTCCCACACGCACCGTCTCCAATCACTACAATTTTAAGCTGCCTGTCTTGGCTGTCCTCCTCCGAGTCCGACATGACGCTAAAATGTGCCCCGACCGTATCAGTGTGTAAAATCGAAACACCAGAAAACTAGTCACCGGTTGCTGAATCTAGTTATCAGGATAATCACAGATGGATTAAACGGGCGTTGGGTGGGCAAACGGACGCCATTTTGACTCTACTAACACAGGCTGCTGCTCCACTCGGCGTGATCCACTCAGACGCTGTTAGCGCGACGTACAACAATTTCTTCTGGTTAAAACGAGGGTTAATAGCGAGCGAAACACGAGCCGTAGGTCACGGTTTACCATTTCAGTTTGCAAATGTTTTCATTATCGCCACGATAACAGTTCTGCTGTTTTCCGTGAACAGCAGAACCGGAAACCCAGTCATCACTGGTGTGGTTGCGTCCCGTGTGTGACGCGCTGTAGTTGCCAAGGTAACGGAGGTCAAAGTTTGAGTCCATAAAAGCATAAGAACCACAGCAAAATAAAAATGAAAAATGAAATACATTTTAAATAGGCCCAGAATTATACGAAGAAAGTAACAAAACTTGAAAGGATACAGTTTAAAGTCACTATTTACTTCAGGTAAAATTAATACTTACTGTCCCACTGTGTTCCAGTGGGAAATATTGTACTTTTGACTATTTAACAGATATAGTTACTTTGCAGGTTTAGAATTTACACACAAAACATATTATCAGCTTATAAAATATGAAGCATTGCTATACAGTAATACAGTAGCTCCACATCAACCAGCTACTTCAGAATGCTGCTTGCTTGTTAATGTAGCATTAACTACAACCCAATAAAATTATATTCTGCATGAGGTGCTATTCTACATAAGAAGTTGTTTTACTTTTGATACTTATTAAATACACATTTTGCTAATTGCATGGCCGGATGAACCTCCAAAGAGGCCCCAGGGCAAGAAATGTTTTGTTGGGTCCCTATTGTCCCACCACTATGTATGACAGTTTGATTATTTCACCAGATACCCAGAAAGCACCCAGTATACTCTATAGCAAAAATTATTAGTTGATAAATCAATTAGCCTAGTCAACTGAAAGAAAAGAAAATTGCAGCAATTAATGATTAACGACCATTAAAGATTAAGAAAACTCAAGATTTTTTAGGTTTTTGACCAAAATTGAACTATGATCTTATAACACTACCTTGCTCAAGGTTTTCTGTGTGTTAATTACTTGACACACAGAAACTAAATCAATGAAGGTCTTAAAATTATATCTTGTTACAGAGTCCCTCTTCAAGACAAGGATAGAAGATAGAGCATGGGGGACCTGTTAAAGTTAATATTGGTTCATCAGTGGTGCAAACTTCAAACAAATTTGCATTTAATCAAATTATGTAGACAGAAATGATATGGAGTGAACTTGGGGAACATTTCTATACTTATTAAACTATTATCCTTCTCTCTGTCTGTTTTCGATATCTCTCGCTCTCTCTCTCTCTCTCTCTCTCTCTCTCTCTCTCACACACACACACACACACACACGCACGCACGCACCACACACACACACACACACACACACACAGACAGGACATCCTTTCATTTGAACCTAAATATACATTTAGTATATGTGTGTGCACTCTGCATTGTCTGGAATTACCTTTGACTGAGTATCCATAAATAGATTAGTAGACATAAATGTATTTAATATGATATTAATAAAATTATATGCTATTATTATACTTTGTAGTTGTCTACTATCAAGCATATCAAATACTGGTTATTTTTTGAAAACTAATTTTGACAGTTCAATATCTAGCCTATAATAAAACTATTTATAAAATACTGCCAGCAGCATATGCTTCACTTGTCCTGATGTTGTCATCTTATGGGCCGTCTTTCTTTCAACTCACACACATGCACATATAAATGCACCTGCATAAACACGGGCACTATAGGATACATAAAGGCTATTTTTAGGTAGGCAGAATACAATGACTATGATTTTGGTTCACCTGAATGAAAACACAGATCTCAGCTGTTGTAAAAGTCTGAAGATAGCCAACAAACACTTACAGCCACCTTTAAGTTTTTTTTTTTGTCATTTAACCACTATAAACCATTATAGAGAACTATTCAAATGTTAACGTTATTCCTGAGACATACTGTTCATAGATAGACTTATTTAATTTTTTCCACTACTTAGTTCACAGCTGAACAGTCTCTCAGTCTGCCACAGTTTAGAGAAATACCTTACCAGCTGTGTAATTTGATTGCTCTGGATGACACACTGATGTATTTACCAAATGAAGTATGACTATTATTGGCTAATTTAACTCCAGCCTTGGATAAAGTGACAAAATAGAACATTTTGATACTATTATTTTGTGACATTCCTCTCCAATGTATTTTTAAATTTCCCCCAATAAGTTGGGGGTAATTTACCCGTAAGCAAAATGTTGCACCTCTGGCACAAAATGAACTTTATTCTGAACTTTTTTTTAATTATTGTGCAAGTTTTTAGGTAGTTTTCAGTTTGGAGTTCATAAGACTAAACATACATTGCACCAAAGTATACGTCAAAAGTATTCAGTTAAGTAAAATAAAATAAGTAATCACAAGTATAAACCTTTGTGTCAATAGGTTGCAGTCTTATTAAACATGAATCTGTCAAACAGGGCACATGACAATAATTTACCATTAAAAGCTACAAACTGTGGAACTGGATACAAAGGCATTTCCAAGAAAAATATCTCACTATACACAACTTTTTTTCTCAGCTGTGTGAGGTGTAACTGAAGTGTGATGTTGAGCAATTTATAAACACAATGTAATATGTCCACTGAGATCTACTTGCTGTGTGCACAAAAAAATATACTAAAAAGTTTTCTCCTGTTTTCGAGTTCACTATGTCATGGGATAACGTTTGGTATTAGGTCTTTGCCACTAATTTACGTCTTCATGTTCTATGTTTTGTCATATTTCCACAGAAAATGACCTGTGGTGTTTTACAAACCAGAGGTTGAATCAAGGTGCTCGTCTTTCACACTTGCTTTTCACTGCAGGGGAAGGATGTCGCTGTAACATGGGGGATGAAGAGGAATTTGCACCTGGGCCACTTTGAAGCAGGTGGCAGCGAGTGTCAGGTCCGTATAGCTACTGCAAAATGCTTATGAGGGTGTGATTGACAGCTTCCCAACCGGAAGCCTAATTGTTTTTAAAAGGTTGTTGTGGGGACGACCTGGACGGTGAAGGAGAGAGGCGAAGACTCTGTTGGTTGTCTGGTTTATTCTGAAGCTGTGATCAGTGAAGTCAGTGTAAATTTATCCTGCAGCCTCATCGCCTGAATGGAGGGTGTATTTGGACTATTTTACCCAGTGATAAAAAACTGTATTCTGAATCGCTCTACAAAAATGCACCTGAACTGAGAAAAAAAATAAAAAATCCATATATAATTTGTTATTTCCGTGATTGCTTCAAGTATAATTTATGTTTGAGACAGTGCCATTAAAAAACTCAGTTGATCTGAGACTCATTTGACCTGTAAGGCCTTTTTCAGTTTTCAGAGCTTTAGTCCTTGAAATATAGATGAATAACATTCATGCGTTACATAAAAAGGTGACTAAAAATACAGCATTATTCAACATGTAAATATGTGTAAGATGTACAAAATAGACATAAACCGAACTATGGACAGACACACGTATATAATTTATCTTGTTTGATTTGTTGGATTATTACACACAGCCAGATTGATAAATCGTAAGATTATAGGATCTGAAATATTCTGTTCTTGGTTTAGGATACTTTAAAAAATGGTCTTGAAGTTAATGAGTCTGTTGCTGACAATTAGAATATGACTTTCTTTCGAGGCTCACAAACAAAAAGCCCTTGAGTAGTGATCGTGGCATGTGTGGATTTTCTCAATAAAAGAAAAAAAAACAACAAAGAACAGCCTGATTCAGAAGTTGATTTGTAGTCTGTTAAAACCAACTGTATCCTGGAGGGAAAGGGATTTAACGATTTGCTAAGTGGATGTTTTTTTTGCAGTGTAATTTGGTGGTAAACCGTTAACTCCTACAGTATTGTGACATAAGGGCATTTTATGACTCCATTCAGTTTCCTGCAGTTGCGTCTTTTTGTGGTTTCTCTACCACAAAAAAGACGCAAATCCAAACTATTATGTGATAATAAAAAGAAGGAGCTCGGCTGCTCCGTCATATTCAGACCTTTAATTCTGAATAGTCTCCAGTTCATTTAAATCGTGCCAAATGAAGCGCATTTCACATTATTGGTTAACGTTTCAAATAATGTCTATTAAATGTATTTAAAACAATTTGTCTAAAGCAACAGCTGTAGAGTCTCTGCAAATGAAAGAATTACAGCTCGGTACAAAAGTAAAGAGCAAACGACTGAACTGTCCCTGACTCGCGAGGCGGTGAAGATCAGTTTAGGACAGACCTCCTTTACTAAAAAAAAATCATAATATTTACAACAACAAAAAACAAATAGCAAAGAAATAATATGAACTAAAATGGCTTGTTTGGATTTTTGTTGAGTAACGTCAGTCCGGCTATCATCGTCATTATTATTATTAGCCTACAATTCCAGGTTCTCTTTTTTCCCGCACAATAGGTTTCTAAAAACTCCCAAATTACATCTTTCTAACTGAGACTGAAAAAAATATTTCCACATTTTTTGAATGATATGAGAAAATTGGTTAGTCCACTCGTGCGTAAACCTCCTTGTATGTGCGTAATTTGGTTAATATGGTACAAATAAAAATACATACTATTATGGGGAAGTCTCCCCATTCATTTTTTCCTGTGAAAAACCTAAAAATCCTAATTAAGGAATAACATAAGTACCCAACGTTTCCCACGCAATAATCGTAAACTATGAAAAAATAATGGGGAGACACTGGAAGGGGGTTAATGTAAACCGATGGGGGTGTTTGCATTTCAACGATCGCAGGTTGAAAGGAAACACAGCCGCGATATGTCCCTCTATATCAGATATCTTCACATGCAGGTATGAAAGGAAGCCATGTGGGACGGTCCTCTCCTCAGTATCCCTCTCTGTCCTTTAAGCTCCAGAGCAGCCAATGAGGAGCATCATTGCCGCTGGAGATGGACTCGGGTAGCGAATATGCCTGCATCAAAGAGATCAGATTTTAGGACATAGAGGCGCCGTGACTGTTTTTACCATATAGGGTTAAAGAAGATGGGACACTGATCAACCAAAACCGTCAACGTAAAACCGTCAGTGCGTAAAAGCACATTGGCAATACGCAGAGCGGTCAGCTCGGAATGCACAGATTTTCCCATTTGTGTCCCAATGAATAAATCAATAAATGACACCGTCACTTATCTTTCAGTGTCCACGTGTCAGCATCTGTAATCATCTGTAATCATCTGCAACTGTGACTAATAAATCACGAAATCGAGATTTATTGGCCTCATCTTCACGCTGATCTGTCAGTCTAATAACTGTTAGAGACTCAACTACACACCATTTTATCCCTGATGTGCAGTATCACACAGATTGTGTGAGTGTCTCTGAGGGATGTAGGTGTTTTCGCCTATAAGGCCAGAGATGGATGGCTGACTTGCGGCAGCTCCCCACTGACCCCGACTTAACACTCAGGCTGCTACTGGAAACAGAACAACAGCTAATACTCCTCCCGTATAATACTCCATCTCCAGTATTAGGCCTGAAATTATAAAAACAAGCTTAGAGTATTTCCATATTTGAAAAAAGATACTGTTTGCTATCTGCAAACAACCCAAAATGACCCCCTCCTCCTTTTTTTCCTTCTTTGACTTTAATTTAGACGCAGTGACACGGGCCTTCTTAACCCCGGAATACTCCTCTCCATGTGTTGACATGCAGCCCTAAAGGTAGCTGTCAGTTCGCCCTGTCCGGGAATCACAGAGCTATTCATCATTGTTTGGCAGGTGTGTTTGGGAAGAAAGTCATGGTGGCCCACATGACATCTACAACGTCTCATGGTGAAGATGAGGAGAGTGAAATTAAACACACACTTTCAGCAAAAGAGGAAGTTTTCCTATAGTGACACTGTGCAGGAGGAACAGGTTCAAATAGAAAATAATTCAGTGGATAAACTCATTTCTGTTTATTGCCTATGGGCCAATAAAGCTGTAATAGGCGGTTATTCCTGTTTCATCATGTGTGTGCTCTCAAAATACGGAAACGTGTCATGAATCATCTGTGCCAGCGATAAAACGATAGGTCCGTTTCAATTTGTTTTAAAGTGAGGGGACTTTTAATCAGATAAAAATGGCGCAAGATACAGGATTTATTATCGGTTTAAACCTGTAACCACCTAGTTATAGGCTATAATGTCAAGCATAAGTAATAGCCTAAAGGCTTTTATTATAATATATTATAAGTATACTTGATACTAACAGCAATTAATGTGTGTTTTTCCTGGCCAGTCAGCCATTAAGTGGTCAAATAAAAAGTTAATTAGTAAACCAGCACGGTGAAAAATAAGAAAATGTGTTCAATTAGTTCTAATTATTGATAAAATCCGAGTGTTCTATTTGCATTATTGAATTATTCCTTTCTATTTTCCAATATTACACTTCCTAATAAGAACCTTCAAATAAAATTGCATCCAAGTGAAAGTAATGCCTGATATGTTTTAATATTTTTTTTCGATCTAAACAGTCATTTAACACAAATAACACATGTACATTTCATTTGGAAGTTGGTCTGTTTTAGCCTGCTTCCTGCCACACCATCACTCTCAGGCCAAAGCGCCTCTCTTCAGTCTGACACTGTACATGCCCAAACTATAATGCATTTTACATTGAAATAATGTAACGTATATGCTCAAAAGTGCTGAAATATCTTACCTTTACAAACACAGCAAGAGAAAATAAAACACAACCTGTAACAGAGACAGTTATTTGAAAAGTCAATGGAATATGCCTATTTTCCAATCACTGCAGAGGTAGGAAGGCGCATGTAAAATAGAAACCAACATAAGGTGACATGACAGTCTATTTAGGCCTCCGGGTCCCAAAGTGGGGTCGGGAGGGGAGGGGGAGGGGGCTTCAGAGGTCCTTGAGGGGCTCCCGAGCAAAGAGAGGAATACTTTAATGTTATTACTGTGTCAGTCCTCAGGGGTTAACATACTGACATTTTATGAGGAGGTCCAGTCTCCCCGCTCTCCCTCCACAGTTCAGACAGTTGTGATTTTACACCCTCAATCAAGAGAAATGTCTTCTTTACCGGGGTTCATCGGGACAGAATCTTACTAAAAAGAAAGAGTCGTTTTTAAGTATCTGAGGATGTGGTTAAAAAAAAAAAAAAAACATGAAAGGGTCTGAGAACCCCTGGTCTGGCCTGGACAACACGATGAGGCAGTTCAGTCAGAGACGCTGAGCAGATTCCCCTCAGGTCTCCTCCTCTTGTCAGAAAAATAAATGTTTAATTAGTTTGATTTCCTGGGAGCAAAAATAATAAAACAAAAATGAATAAATACAGTCACTGAGCTCTCACTGGTTCCCCGCACATGCAGAGAGTGTCCATGCAGGGAGGCAGTAGGCGTAGGGGTAATAGTAGGACGGCTGCAGGGAGAGCAGCGGGGGCCGCAGGATCTCTCCCGGGCTGTACTGTCTCTGGTCGTCCCGCACCAAAACTTTCACCGCCACCTTCTTAGCCGCCGGGGTCGAGGCCATCAGGTCGGCAGCCATCTGACGGCGTTTCGTCTTGTACCGGCGGTTCTGGAACCAGATCTTGACTTGAGTCTCTGTGAGCTTCAGGGAGGCCGCCAGGTCCGCCCGCTCCGGCCCGGACAGGTACCGCTGGTGGTTGAAGCGGCGCTCCAGCTCGAAAACCTGCGCATGGGAGAAGGCGGCCCTGGAGCGCTTTTTCCGTTGCTTGGGCTGATCCAGACTCTTCTCGTCCAGGATGCTGGAGTCTGGGAGAGGGGGAGACGCAGATGGACCATGCAATTGAATTCCTGTATTTGTTTGTTATTGTGATACAACTGGAAGTGCGTCTGTTGATTAGATGACGATATCTTTAGGATGTGACTCATTTAAACCAAAAGCAACATTGAAAGGAGTGTGCACTCATGCAGGAGGGTGTTTTAAAGTTCTGTTTTATCTCCTTGTTATATATAAACGGCGTTTGATTTTTCTTAGGTCGCTTGATGGTGTTTTCAAATTAAATGTGAAACATGTCTGATCTACCAAGTTTGATTCAGGCCTAAAGATCAGAACTCTTTAAAGATTATTTTGTAAAACTGCTGAATTAACTTTGTGTTTACGATAGTTTCTAGCACTGGTCCAAAGTTCAATCGTACCAATGCAGCATGGATTAACTGACTTCAATAAATGCCTATAAACACTCGTGGTATAGTTTAAGGATGAGCCAGGATATTTACCAATAATCGTGCGTAAAAGTAGGACAGTCTGTGCGTAAAAGTTAGCAGAGAGTTTTGCAAACAGGCCTGATATCCTACAATAACAATCACAGCGCTGGTTATGATTCCACACAAGTGTGTAGCAGTGAAAAAAAAAAAACATCAGTTGCCAATTAAAGGAGTAAGAGACTCTTTAAGACAGACTTTGACTGAGTCGTTATGGTTTGAGTGAGATCAGAGAGCCACACATTATTTTTTGCTTTGTGTACAGTTATATACGAGTCTTTCTGTCCTTACTCACCCGTGGCATTATTGGGCTCACTGTCGCTCTTTGCGTTTTCCGCAGCTGCAGACTCGTGGTCCGTCTCCTCCTGCAGGCTTTCCTCCGGCACATCCGACGCAGGGTCTCCGTCCTTCTCCGACTTGCACACGGCCGGAGTCTTGCTGTCGTTGTCGTCACTGAGTCCCGAGTCCGAGTCGTAGCTTTTCTGGTCCGTCGGCTCACAAGCCTCCCCATCATCTCTCCTCGACCCGCCGTTCATCTCCCCAAATATTTTCCAGCACGCCGTCTTGGAGAAGCACATGTCTAAATCTGGCAAGTGTCGGCTGTCGTCCTTTTTGTTCAGGATGGCTTGGATTGAGAAAGGCATCAGCGAGTTGCCACGAACAGCCATTTTCACAAAAGCAAAAGAAAAAAAAAAAAGTTTGCTCGGTCTTCAAGGTGAATAATTAACCGGACCGGATAGTGTCGTAAATGTCAGTTCATCCACATTTTAGACTACTCCCTCCGTGGAGCTCTGCTGTCGCTGAACTTCTTTCCCTCCAGTGTTGGTTCCTGGTCGCATCCCCGCGGGAGAAGCCGTGGAAAGTTTCTGCTACATCCGCAGGCACGATGCTGCTCCTCCGTATAACTCTGCCATCAGCCCGAGCTCCCTCCAGTCTCTGGCTCTTTTCACCCAACTTTTTTACCATCCTCCCTCACCTGTGACTGACAGGCACTCCTCGTCGTCTCCTATTGGCCCGGAGAGGAGGAAAGCTGTTACACGATTGGCCACTGTAAACAACGTCATGCTGCTTTCAACCGGGTGGGAAAAAGTTAAAGAAAAGTTTGGTCGACGCTTTGAACAGGACGCAAAACTGACATGAAGGTTGCAGCAACAAACATGTGTTAAAGCTGAAACTTCATCCAAAACAGGAGAGGACACTGTATTTCTGCGTGACTTGTGGGAATAAAATTGCTTGTTAATTTTGTTCGAGTAATCTTTAAGGATTTTAAGATTCATTTAGCTGAGGTGCGGAATTTCCACTGGTCGTAATTTTCAAAATTCCTGCAGTCAGAAAAAGCAACGTCCCGTGCGTAAAAGTCAGAGATCACGCGAAAGCAGATTTTAGCAGCAATTACACCAGTCGAAAATAAAAAGAGAAAAGTCGTGTCTCCCATTTTTCTCCGCATCACTCGAATGCAGCATAAGGACAATAAATTTGCAGGGCATGTCATCTTTTTTCAAACTTAACCCTTCATCATCCGAACAGGTCTGTTAGCAGTCCGCTGCGTGACGCGTAACGTGGATGTTTTTTCTTTGGTAGCGTTTAGGGCGCTGAACAACGCGTGTCACATTGTTACCGATTCACTCAGTCTGCGTTTTTATTAAATATCTAAACTCATCGAAGTGCTCATTCCTGTCACTTCCTGGGCAGCCTGCATCATGAGTCGCCATGACCAGGTAGGCCTCAGCTCGTGCGCAAACCAAATTCATGCCTTGGCATTAATATGACAACAAGGAACTGTTGACTTCATAAAGACTTTATCAGTGTTTCATTAAACGAGTAGGCTATATTTGATATAATAGTTAAAGGCTACTTATACATAAATATATATATATGTTTCTGTAGCAGTCAGTTTGTGCAACGTCCCATAAACACTGATGAGTATTTATGAAAAAATAACTGAAATAAGTGACAATGGAAACAACTGAAATTATCGTTCTACAAGCAGAATATTTGACTCGTTAAAAAAAAGTCGATTTTCATACCAGAATAAATTCTCAGACTGGCATTTGTTCATCCTAAAAGTGAAGCTTGTTTGTTTTCTTCCCCTCTGTTCATGCAGCTCAAGACAAATCACGAGCATTTTTAGCAGTTGTATTAAACATGAAGTGTGGCTCTCTCTGCTCTGTCTCTGGCGTTAAGTGGACAAACATCTGTAGCTGCAGATCCGGATCGTGACCTCTGCCGTTTTTCACGTCGCCTGTCCACAAAGCAGAACCTCACAGCTTTTCAGTAACCAGAACTGTCTTAAAATTATATTTTTAACGACACTAACAGTTACATTTCCCGGCCCTTTAAAAAACACACACCCTCACATTATATAATATATCCTGCAGGTTAATACAATTTTCATTTTAGATTGTTGAAATTAGATATTTCTCTGGTTTATTTAACGTCTTTAATTTGCATTAATTAACAAATAAGGGAACTATTAAGCTTAGTTAATTAAAACAGGCTGTTAGTCTGTAGGCTAATAAATTAGGCTATATTAATTAAGTTGACTTGATGACTCTATTGCTGCATCAATAAAAGTATAACTATTGTTTAATAAAATAAGGAATTGAATAATCAACATGGTATATTATTATTGCCCTATTTTTATTGTTAATTATTATTATGATTATTATTATTATATTTTATATTCCAAAAAGCTGATGTGAACAAATGATCTTTCCTTATTTTTGATTTTTAGATCTCCAGAAGCTGAAGCAGTTTGTAGGCCGTCAGAGGGACAGAGGATGAGTGATGACGCTGACTGCAGGTGAGCTGCTGCGAAACGTTTTCGTTTTTAAGTCATTTTTCATTTGCGTCAGTCTTTTGGGTGCTGGTGTATTTATGAACCTGCAGACGCACGCGAAAGTCACGGACGTCGCGGACGTGATGAAACTGTCTTCACTGACCTCCAGATGAAATGAGTTTGGAAAAGATAAAATAAATCTCTCAGGGTTCGTCTGTATTCTTTGCTCGCAGGCGCCTGTTGGATGTCTTTTGGTAAACGCTTGTTTAACAAAAAGGGGATTAAATCACATTTTGCAATGTGCATTTTAAATAAACATCTCTCGATCTTTATTATGAAACGTGCTAAAATAATATTTTGTAGCAGTAAAATGCGCCCACAGCTATGTAGTAAATTATGCCAACCTGAGAATAAAACAGGCTACAAGTCCTGTCAAAATATTCAGCAGGCTGGTTTAGGAGGAGAGTTTATCAGTGCTGCTGTCACCTCGTGCAAACCCTTTGCGTGCATATATTATACCATCTAGTGGCCGCTGAAAATACCTCTTCATCTTGACTTTTTGACATCTCCTGCCTCTGGGGTCAGCTCAGTGAGAAGCGCATTAGACTGTTACTGTATAATAGAGCCTCTGTTTTCCGCCACGACCTTAATTAGATATGAGAATATTTCACTGAAAATAACTTATTTCAAGAGAAATAAGAATTTTAAAAGATTTTTCCTCAAACTTTTTTCAACATCACAGGTCAGTGCTTCAGCTGCATTGCTTCGTTTCGGCTGCAAGAAAATCGACTAACATCTAACTCGGTTCAACTGTGTCGTCCTGCTCCGTGGAATCGAGCCCAATGCTGCTGAATGAAATTATGTGGCATTGTCTCAGGGCTGGATGTGACCTTGAGGATAAAAGTCTGTATCACCACAAGCAATGAAAACACAACTGGAAAAGGGGGAAAAGCACAAACCACTGACACCGTCTGGATATTTTCACACACCCTGCCCTTGTTCTTTTAGAAACTGCTCATTTCACCCAAGGCCAATACACAAGTGGTAAGCTACATCACATAGTTTTTATTGTATAGTAGAACAAGACGTTTTTTTTCCCCCCTCAGTGTCCTTCGTGCAATTTTGTTGGCTTTTCTCCTAAAACCAGCCTAACTGACCCGTACACAGGGCTTTACCCTGGGAAAATGGAAAATAAATAAAAGCGTCTGCCAATTCTCCAACAAAGTGAGCCAGTGTGTGCCTATCAATGTGATGTCAAGCAGAGCTCCACGGGTTACACTGCGTTTTGGTAACCACGCTGCGAGGAAGAGTAATAAGCAGTAAGTAGCTGTAAGTGGCAGGAAATGTAAACAGCAGCACCAACAGCAGCAGCTTCATGGTTTTCATTCAGACAGCTGCAGAAGATGCGCAGCTGCTTTGTTGTGATTCACACTCGGAGGTTTAAGTTGATCATCTGAGCCACTGAAAGTGGATTAATGAAATGTAATAACTCACATATAACACGTCTGGATGAGCAGTGGTGGAAGAAGTATTGAGATAAAAGCAATAACTCAAGTGTAATAATAGGCTACTTAATTACAAGTAGCTAAAAGTCCTGCATTCAAAAATATACGTAAATAAAAGTATTAGCAATAAAATAAAAAAATATATAAAGTTATTTAGAATGTCTCCTCTCAATGTTATATTATTTAATTATTATTATTAATTATTATAATTAACATCTAAGCAGTATTAAAATGTTGTAATTGGTCGGGTGATGCTCATTTTTAACTGCTTCTTAATACAGTTGGGTATATTCATCTGTAATGATGAAAAGGTGCAATAATTGTGGAGTAGAAGTATAAAGCATAAAATGGAAATACTCAAGTAAAGTTTCCTGTTTAAGAACAGTACTTGAGTCAATGTATTTAGTTACTTTACTTTACTGCTGTAACTCAGGCAACAATCACTGAATGAGTTGTAGTGAATATAATTTTATAATGGGACTTAAGTGGCATATTTCAGGTCAGGACAGTGTAGTATAGTATAGTATACAGAAATATAAGATACAAGTAATAAAAGTCAGGCAGGTATGATGGGCTCATAACAGACGATCATGTCGGAGTCACTATGGAATCACTGGAGACCAGTTGTGGATGAGGAACTCAAATAATCATTAATGTAAATGTAGCATCGCCGTACTATAAGAATACTCTATTATAAGTAAAGATCATGCATTCAAAATTATTTGCAAAGTAGTATTAGCAAAGAAATGTACTTAAAGTATTTGAAGTACTCATTGTGTAGAATGTCCTTTGTCTCTATAATATTATTGGGTCATTCTTAAAGAGCTTTACAGTAATGTGTAATTTTGTAAACTGATGATGTCTGTATGTAAAATCTGAATCTGAAAAGTAACTAGAAACTATGGGTGTTAAATAAATAGTAGAGTAAAAGTACAAGAAACATAACATGGAAATATGTAAGTTAACAAGTAGCCTACGAGTACCTCAACATTGGAAATAGTACAATACTTGTCTTAATGTACTTAGTAACACTCCACAACTGAGGGAGACTTTGATGAACAGGAGTGATATAACGTGAGTTGTAGCGTTCTACATACAGTGCATTGTTATTATTATGATGATATTACTGTCATTATTATTATTATTATTATTATTATCAGTTTGAATTTTTTTTTGGTCGTATGTCAGTGTCTGTGTCAAATCATATCTGGCAAAAATATAAACAATGTACGGCATATTAATGGAAAAAGTCATAATGTGTGGAGCAGGAACTATTGATTAAAGGATAGAGAAGGATAAAGGGAAGATATAAACTTGAATTGTCCTTTTCAGCGACATTTTGGAGGATATTTTTATACAGAACGAAGCCTGTGGATTTTGTTCCCCGTCTCTTACACTGAAAAACACATTAGGAAGGGATATCTTAGCCAGTACGAATATATGATTATTTTTGAGTTTACAAAGTGTCACAAAATGGTGAAAAATGCCCTTTTTGTACCTTGAGTCCCAAGTAACACCTTCAGGTTGCTTCTTGTGTCCAACCAACAGCCCAACAGCCAAAGAGATCCTAGTTTACAAAGATATAAAACAAAAAAAGCAGCAAATCCTCACATTTAGGAAGCTGAAGTCAGTCACTTTTGTGCATTTTGTTTGATAAATGACTTTAAATGATTGATCAGTTTAAAACAGTTAATATGTCTTGAGAATATGTAAACAAAAATGAAATGAAAAATGAAAAATCAACATAAAGACATTTTGCTGTTTCTGTCTGTTTATACTCAACATGAAGCTGAAACCGGTTTGCTGTTTCTGAACAGGAGGGCTCCCTCTGCTGGCGACGACGACAACCTGCTCTCTATGAAAAAGATGATATGGAAAGATGAGATGTTCACTACATAATAGCCATGCCGGGAAGAGGTAGGTCTGTATTTGGGCCTCTTTTTCTATCTAGTATGACATGATTCCTTAATAAGCCCAGACTCTTTGTCTGCTCTCCTCCAGTGTAACACCACCTTTCCAGTAAAGAAATAAACTTTAATGGCACATTAAGCTATTACATTTGCCTCCACCCTGCAGCCCCCTGACCCCTCCCCTCCTAGCCCTTTTTTCCTGCCTCTTCTTGTTACTTTAATCTGGTGCTTTAAACAGAAATCTCGCTTGATGCAGCAACATGCCAGTTGCCAGGGCAACGTCTCTGTTTCCCCTCCTCTCCAGGGTGTGTTTATGACAGGTCTTGAATTTTTTTCTTGCGTGCTGGTATGAAGAAGGGAGGCTTCACAGCATGCCATACCCCCCCACCCCACCCCACGCCACCCACCCCCCTCCGGCCCTCTTCCTCCTCCTTATGTGAGAATAGCTGCCAGATTGTGTTCAGGTGGAGCAATACATGAGAGGGCACTGCCAAGAGTCATTTGCAGTAAATGCTCCCAAAACGCCCTCTAGATTTCTCACCAAATATCAGATCCACCATGATAGCAGCCTTAATCAACCTCAGCATTGGAAAGTGGAAGGAAAGGGAAGGGGCGGGGGGGTTACTGCCAACTTTAAGTATGCTTTTAGTCGCCTCAGTTACAACTGAACCCTCTTTCCCAAAGAAAAATTATCCTTGCATGCGATGGAGCACTAAATGGAAGAGCCCTTGGGACAGAATACTTAATACAGTAAATGGAACCAAGAGACGAGCAGAGAGAAGTTCCTCCGTCTCTTGGAAGAAATTCAAAACATCTCAGCAGTGGCTACATTACTGCAGACACAGAAGCAGAAGTGGGTGTGGGGGGGGGGGGTAGCCCACTGTTACAGTCCAATTAATGTGTGTAGATAGTGCAGACGTGATTTATAGTTTATTTTCGGCTTTGCTGTGCTGACAAACGAGCTTCCATCCGCTTCTGGCACGCAACAGATAATGCATCAGCTCAAGCACATCATGAAAGGCTTCTCAGGTCTGAGGGGCCTTTCGCTGCCTTCTCAGGGCTCTGTGACCGGCTCCTTTCTCCTCCGCTCACGCCTAAATAAAGACGTCCTTCAAAGCAGCAGACCCCTTTCACTGGTTTCGTGTCACATGTAAAATACCACTTTTGAACATAGGAGTTGATGTAGTTATGAAAACTTTAAGGACCATTGAGAAATTCTTGAGATATTATGGGGCTTTTCTTTTCAGACAGTGAAGTGGGTGTCACAGACTGCAGCTGCAGCTTCTGGCTCCTGAAGACGAGCTCTGCACTTTGGGTACGTGCAGATAACAGATTTGCCTCTGTGACAGGTGTGTAAGTTTAGAGTAGACAAGCAGGGTTGTAACTAATCATTACTTTTGTTATTACTCTGTTGATTATTTTTTGGGTGAATCGATTAGTCTAAACTTGATCAGTTTTCAAGTTTTCACATTTGAGTAACTGGAACCAGCCAGTGTTTGGCCTTTCTGCTTGATAAATACTTCAAATGATTGATCAGAAAATGTTGTAAATTGATTTTCTGTCAATTGACCAATGGATTAATCAAGTAATCCTTCAGCACTAAAGAAGAATTAGGCTGACATTATATTGTATTCTTTTATGAGACGACAAACGATGTTAGTGCACCTCTCATTCTGTCTTCCCTACACTCAGACCTAAGCCTATTTGCTGAAAACATGAATCTTACAAATGTCTTCACAGTAATTTTTTTTAAAGCCAAAATAATTTCATAAAACAGCGGGGCACAGTAGGGTTTAGCAAATGTTCTGTAAACAGGAGTAAATAGTAAATAGTTAATTTATTGTGGGGCTATTTTCAGTGGCAGGTTACTAGATTTGGTTCTCTAGTGAGTATTTACTGAAGCAGGACAGTGTATTTCGAATAGACTCAAAATACGCCACAGTGCCTAGACACTGTATATGCTCAGTGTAGTAAAGGAACATGTCACTCAGTGATTTAGTGGCAGTTTTTGAACAATGGAGCTCAACGGCAAAGAGGAATAAACTTTATCAGGCTTTGACATGACAAATATAGAATAAATCCAGATTTATCCGTAAAAAGCTCTGAAAACCTATTTTCTTTTTCGATTTTCTCAGCTTCTTGCTGCAAGATACAGTATTAGAGATTTATAAAAGTGATGAGGTGTGAGTTTTTGAGTGTTAAATTTTTAACAATGACAATTTGGGATGAGGAAAGCTGACATTTTGCACGTAGCAGCAGAAGTATAAAATGCCTACACATGATGTATTTTACATGGTAAAGCTAAAAATCACAGTCAAAAAGATTCTTCTTTAAAATTCTGTATCACGCAAGACCAAAGATACAGTATGATGCTTTTATAACTTCACACAATGCCGATATACTGCAGCCAATCAATATGACCTCAATGCGTTAGTAGTGAAAACACATTTTAGGAATTTTTCTGCACTCTGGTGTGTATTTGTTGCAGCTTCAGTTGCCAGGAGTTGATGCAAATCTTGACTCAACTGCAGAACTATTTCAATACTGCAAAAGAATGAAAAAAAAACAAAATCTTTAAGTCTCTAAGCCACCACCCCTCCCTGCTGCCTGTCACTGGTTATTTCTATGACTCTCGTATGAAGCACTTCTGACGTTAAACACCTGTTAACTTTTATGGCTTGAGAGAGGAGTGGCTGAAAGGGAGAGCATTATATTCAGTGCCAGTCGGCCTGGCCAAATCCCCAGTAGAGGAAAGACCACTCCCAGTGCAGAGAGGCAGCAGCAGGAGTGAGTGAGTGAGCCCCCTTATCCCTGCAGCAGCCTGCGAGGATCCCCTCCGCTCAAAACCAACAGTTACCTCTATTCCAGTTGACAGCTGCGTGAAACCACCATCTTTCCGCAGCTCTCTGCTGGATAAACTGCACTGCTACCCACCAGCAGACTAGCTTACAACGAAGAGGAGGAGGTGTGAGGGGGTTTGAGGCACTACATGTCGTTGGTATCTTGTATCACAGTCAAAAACTTCTAGATGCCAGAGCTGAAAAGTTAGAGTGGTGCAGTGCCAGAACCCAAATAACCAGACCTTCCCATTCTGAGGGTTTCTGGAGGTCTTGAAAAGTGTTAAAAAGCTTTGAATTTAGTTTCCTCAAACAAAGGCCTGAGATGGTATCAAAAAGTCTTAAGTATTTTCTGTCGCCTGTTACTGGCAGTTATGTTGCTTACAAATGTTTTTGTATCTGATTGCAGGTTGTTGTGAGATGTCACACGATTAAACTGCATGTGGGATTGTTGCACAAGTGGATTATGTGCTTTTTTGTGGAACTTCATCAGACCTGTAGCAAAAACCGTCAGGACTGCTCCAGTGAAGTCTTAAATTAATGACTGAGTTTTAAGTGGTTTATCCATCTATCCATTTCTGCTGCTTATCTGAGTCCAGGCCGCACTGATTTAAATGACTATATCATTAGGAATTGATGTAACATTATGCTGGGAAGTACTGCAAAAAAATGTGATATAGTCAAATAATTGTAAGCCATCTTGTCCCTACTGGTTTTCCAACATACCTTCATACTTTGGTCGAAATGATTGTGAAACAGGTATGAAATAGGCCTAAATTTATACTTTTTAATTTATACTGGTGAACCTTGTAGAAACGGCTCTGTCCAGTACTCCATGCCTTATTCACTTCATGTTTTTTGGCCATTTTTCCTTCATCAGGATGGTCTGTGTCTGTGTCTGTTTTTCTTACACAGTCTATCAATTAGTCATGTGCTTAAGATTGCATCCATAGGAAGAGACACTACAACTACAAAGAGAAGTTAAAGTTAGACAAAGATGGTTATATTTATTATAACAATTCTATCGCCAGTACAGGTGATGTGTCTATTTAATCCAAATAAGGCGGCCAAATTTTTAAGATGATGTTATTTGTCTTTCTAAGACTGTCTGACACAGCTGATCATTTCAGAGAACTGTGTATCTTTAGAGAGGGGGTTTGGACTTCCACGTCATTGCTATACACTTTATGGCAACACATAAAAAATTGTGGGAAATTGATTCTTATGATTTTGTCAGTGTGTTACAGATATTCATGCCAGAGTCTGGACTTTAATCAAGTATGTTTAGATTTACTTACTTAAGTAAAAATATGAAGTACTTCTACTTTTGTACAAAAATCAACTGGCAACTACTTTGATGATAGTTTGTCATTTTTCATGCAAAAAGACCAAATGATTTCATTGTTCCAGCTTTTCATCTGTGAGAATTTGCTGCTTTTCCTTTTAATTGTTTGAATAATTGTAATTTGTTTTTAATAATTCCATGGTTTGGACCAAATAAAGCATTGTGGGTGTGAATAATTACATACTTACTACTTTCTGAATTTCTAAAAATTAAACAATCAATGAATTAATGAAGGAGATAATCAGCAGAGTAATCCATAAAGAGAATAATCATTAGCAGTAGTCCTATGCACAATAGTTTGAAAAAAAAAAAAGCCTCCTCAACCAACTACAACAGTAAAATCCTGCTTTTACATTAATGCATGAGTAATAGTAAGTGAGTCCTTCTAGGTCTTTTAGGTCTGTGATATCTAATGATACAGTGCTTTTAACATTAGAGGACGTGTTATTTAATACTTAACAGTACATTTCCCTGATTATACTAACATACTTTTAAGTAATTTTCAATGCAGGATTTTGACTTGTGACAGTATTTTTACAGTGTGATACTTCCTCCACCATTGACTTTAATACAATAACCAAGTACAGTTTCTCAGTGCCACATCTGAAACACATCTCTGATAAACCAGGTGGGGTGTTCTGTAGCTTATAGGCTGTGAGATAGACTTGAAGGGAAGTTGTAATGTATACGTCTCTATCTATTAGTAGTAGCTGACACACTATCTAGACAAGTCTGATGAAACAACTTCTCCAGGTCACTGATCAGTAATAAGGTCATTCTGGGTGCAAGGTTAGTCCGAGACCTCAATTACGAGACACAATATATTTTTCCATCTCTTCATGTTAATGTATAATTTGAACTAGTCCGAGTCAAAAAGCTGCCGTATTGAAAACTGGAGATTCATACTTTTGTACATTTTGTATCCACCAGGAGTAAATATTGTATTTTGTAGAATCTATTTCAAAAGGATGATGGTAATGATGTTTTGTGATCTTGTATGTAAGTATGTATTTATGTATGTACTTGTGTATCTATGGTGATTTTTAAGACTGGATCAATGGACTGAATATAAGGAAACCACACCGATGAAGGCAAAACAACTAAAAACATTTAGTGAATAGAGCATTGCTAAAAACTACAGCAACCCTAGAGCAGCAGAAAATTGGATCCGTTTACCACATTATGTGAGATGAGTAAAAAATGATCAAAGAGTAAAATCTTTACTTGGTAAAATACCTCCAGGTACAGTAGATTAAAAACATCTGAAAGATTTATGGCGCAAGAGTTAAATAAGCAGATTTAGATTTTTGTTATCTTGTGTTGCTGCTTTCTCTACCTTTTCAAAATCTTGATGTGAGGTCCCTACTGACTGAACTCAGCTGTCCTCCCTCTAATACATAAAACCTGCTGCCTATGAATCCGTCTAATGTGACTCAAACTGCTGATACTCAGCAGTGGAGGCCCGCTTGGCAAATTCAAAAATCATTTTGCACTACAATGCAAACGACTATAATAAAATGACGTCTCAAGTCACTCCAATGGCATCAGGGAGTGAAAGGAGTGCTGTTTGTCTGCCAGCGCTAGTGGCTAAATGTAAGCTAATCCAAACCTTTAAATGAGTCGTGCTGGGCTAATATTTTAAGGCTTGGATTGCAGCACCAGGAAATACCTGAGAGAGGTACACCTTGAAGGAATCAAATTTAGCAATCCGCAGGAATGGTTGGAAAACTTCAACCAGAGAATTCAGGCTTTCCGTAACCTCTCCCCATGCTTTTTGGATCCCGCAAGTTCAGGTGCAGCGATTAAAGCCTCCTAACGTGTTAATGATGGGGGAATATTTCATTCTGAGTTTGTCAGTTTTATCCCCCATTAGCAGGCAGGAATGTCCTCTCCTCTTCTCCACTCGGAGGTGATTGGTTAATGTCTTTAGCTATTTACACATTACAGACAGCACATCCATTTAGGAAACAGAGGAGATAACGTTTTAGACATAATATGGGTGAATTAATACAAATCTGTATATTCTGCTCTGTGCACTGTTTTATCTTTTCATAAACACAGATCTCTACTTTCCAAAAGAGCTCAATTTTGAAAAACAGAAGCAACAGAGTTTGGATTTCCTTTAGCAGTTGCATAACCGTTTTTTTTGTTTTTGTTTTTAGAAAGAAGAAAATCTATGAAAACTACCATGAAGTATATTCTGGACACATAAATATGTTTTAACCAGCAGGTATGTGCATTAACTGTAAGCTGTAATAAAATCAAAGAAAAGTGTAAGAGCTTAAAAATATAATAGACCAATGCGCAGTGCTTTCATTTGCTTCTAGTGCAGTGACTACATTTGTCGTAAAGAAAAGAATAAATCTCAAGAGATGCACAAAAACTTCCCTTATGAGTATTTAGTATGAAAAATAAGAACTTATAAAAGTAGAAAGAGAAATGCAAAATTAGAAATTGACTATCGACCACAAGTAAGAACCTAAAGTGATTTATATTTGCTTGGAAATGAAAAAGGGAAGCAATATTCGGTATTTTTACATTCATGAAACAACTGTCTTTACATTGACAGGCAGGCAAGATATCTATTGCCATCATACTGATATACACTTAACTCTGAAACAATACAAATATCTAGATTACCTCCACAAGAAACAGCACTTTGTCTGCAGCGGGTGTTGTTACAAATATTTCATGAAGACTGAGTTTAAAGAAACGGTTCATGTTCTGTCATGTTTTCCCTGTCAGTGACTAATACTGCTGTTATTTCAACAGTGAAAAAAAAAAAAAAAAAGAAAGAAAAAAAAAAAAAAAAAAAAAAAAAAAAAAAAAAAAAAAAAAAAAAAAGTACCTTACCTGCCGAATATTATGTATAAAAACAAAACCTTAAAAAAAGAGGGAGGAAAATTTCTCCTTTCATTCACAGAATGAATATTAAATAATAAAATTCATAATGAATGCTAGATGCTTCACAATGATTTCTATCTCTACAAGTGTTTGAATTTACAAATCAGAAATAACACAAATGTGTAACAGTGATGTCTGTAGAAGGCGTTGACTGACTGACAGCTAATTTCAATTCACCCTCTCTATCTCAAAGCGCGGCTCAGCTGCACATTAGGCCTTTGATTGGTCTGAAATACTCTGGTTTACTGGGCATTACTGAATAAACAGAAGGATGATGAAGTCTGATCCAAACCATATGGGCGTAGTGCGGTAGAAAGTATTCTAAGGGATTCCTACACAGATCCTCAGGTTTACACTCAACCATCAGAGGAGAGTGTATAATACTATCCAGAGCTTTTCAATATCTACAGTCAGTGAAGCAGAAACAGCTTTACATGCTAACTGACTGTAGAGGTTCTCTGACCCCCAACAGCAAAACTGACTTGAATATGGAGTGCAGAAAAAACACTGCTGGGGCAAACTGGTCCACTGCTGTCAGAGGTTTCAGCGTTTGGCTCTCTTGGAAGGGGGCTCCTCTGATTTCTGTCCTCCCCGCGTTCGCACTGCAGGAGGGCTGGTCTCCCGTTTACGGCCCCCCTTCGCCACTGCTGCCTGGCCCCTCGTTCCGCTGCAGGAGGGAAACAAGGAGCAAGTCAGCCCGTTTGTCCACAGTGTCATATTAAGTGCTGTAAAGGTTTGCCTTTGTTAATTCAAGAGTTATTCATGAGAAGTGTTGCAATAACCATTACATGCACAAAGACTGGAGCTTGGCATGTCCACATAACCCCTGGAGAGAAAAAACAGTGTAGGAGACAGATTTCAAAAGGACTTTTGTAATGTGAAATTTGATTTGAGTTCAAAAACAAAATAAGTAAAAATTCCTGACTAAATCTGCTCTGAAACTACAAATGGGAATAGTAAATAAAATAGAAGAAAACAGAACCTCCCAAATACAAATACATTTTCTTGATGACCAATACAAATGTATAGATAATAAAAAAAAAACATGTAGTCATGGAAATGAATCATCCAGTCTCCTGAGAAGAAGGAATGTTTGCCATAGAGGGGGAGACATTGAGAAGTTGCTCCTTGAGAAAGAGGCATTTTGGATTAAACTGAGAGGGTTAAATGAGGAAATTAAAGGAATTAGACTTGAAGTCATTTCTGTAGGATCCACTTTTTCTAGGGTCCATTTGTTTTCCAACAGCAGTACTGTTTTTAGAACAGTTGGAGATTTAATGAACGGCTGGAGTGTTGAGGACTTGGAAATTAGTCAATTATCCAAAAATATTAGGAGAGTGAAGAATTCTGAGTTTGAAAAGTTACAGTATTTGCTGCATTGTATTGAAAAATGGATTCTCCCTTTTACCCACTGGTGGGTTAAGATGAAAGACTGTATAAACCAAAGAATATTTCTCAATGTTGGTTGTAATATTATGTTTTATATTTGTGGCCTAGAGCTGAAACCGATGGATCAGTTGATTGAGAACATTTTTTTGAAATTGTTGATAATGTTTTTCCACCAAAAATTCTAAATATTCCCTTGTT